AATAAAATTATGGCATTTGCAGATAAATGGATGGAGTTGGAGAATATCATGCTAAGCAAAGTAAGCCAATCCCAAAAAACCAGAAGGCGAATGTTCTCTCTGAAAAGTAGATGCTGATCCATAAAGTGGGGAGGGGGCATGGTAAAAATGGAGGAACTTTGACTGGGCAAAGGGGAGGGAGGAGAGTGGAGGGTGCATGGGGGCAGGAAAGATGTTGGAATGAGATGGACATCATTACCCTAGGTACATCTATGACTGCACATACTATGTGACACTATATAGTATACAACCAGAGAAATGAAAAGTTGTACTGCACTTGTGTACAGTGAATCAAAGTGCATTCTGCTGTCATATATACCTAATTGAAGTAAATAAATTAATATAAATAGATAAATAAATAATAAATAAATAAAGACATGCTGTCCATCTACAACTTTAAAAAAGCTTACTAATGCATATGAAATAGTTATATAACAGTTTAAAAACATGTGAATTGGACTTGCTTGAGATGTATATTAATGAATGATGGGGGGAATTTTTTACTCGAACACATATTTGAGAGTCTCCCGATTTTTATGACACAATTCCAAAATAAATTGTGATGTTAGTACTCCCAATAGCAAAGAGTACCTTTGACAGAAGCTCTCTAGGTTTGATTTCAAGTAATATTCCTTAAGAGGACTGAGCTGGGCTCATCTGGAAAGGAGATAACCTTTCCCTTACTTTGATATATGGACTTGGTATTAGAACAGTGTATCATCTAATTGAAGATCATTTTTTAGATTCAAACTTGGAAAATATGAAGAGGGTTTTTATTTATAAAATGGATCTTTCTCTAAATGAGAATCACTAATTATTAATATGTATACCTCACAAGTGTTAGTTTTTTTAATACTTTTTAGTTATAGATGAACCCAATACCTTTATTGATTGATTGATTGATTGATTTTATTTGGTGCTGAGGATTGAACCCAGTGCCTCTCACAAACCAGGCAAGCACTCTACCACTGAGCCTTAACCCCTCAAGATGTTAGTTTTAACTTGTGTTTTTCTAATCTTTTTTTTTTCCGTTAGCTTGTATTGAAAATAGAAGACATTTTTGAATCTAAGAGAGGGAAGAAGAAGGTAAAGTTACATCCTTACAATGCAAAGGATGTGCCTCCCTCAAAAGGTAAGAATTATTTATATTTGTTTCAGCTGTCCATAGCTGTCAATGTAAGAAGGAAGAATCATTGTATGACTTAATATTTGATGTGTATCATGATTTTTTATTTACTTTCCTTTATATCAAATTTAATTATAAACTTCTTTAGAATGAGGATTTTTTTAAAAAATCCCTTTTATTTAATTCTGCACCAAATAATAAGTATTGGGTGAATAAGTAAATGAAAAAAAAATCATAAAACAATGTGATTAACTTTCATAGGCAATTTGAAATAATTATTTTGTAGACCTTTGATTTATAGTTATTTATCAATATAGAATAAGTAGAGAAATGAAAACATTATGTACATATAGATTGAAGGTATGTGGTATTCAATTTGTAGTCTTTGCATAAATTCAGTAGTTTTATCCAACAGATGCCTAAGTAACACTTATATTGCTTTCATTAGAAAACTTTTAACATCTATGTTTATTTATTAGAATTTTCATAAAAACTCATATGAGGGCTAGGTAGTGATAGAGCACTTGCCTAGCATGAACAGGTCTTGGGTTTTATCCCTAGCACCACAATAAAGAAAAATTCATGTGAGTTTCTTAACTTGGTTGCCTGGCAAGAAATATGTAGAATTTAGTAATTTTGTTTATAATATTCATAAGTGAGAAATAGCAGCCAAGTCACACCAGAGGAGAATGTTGATTATTTTTGTAGGCATTTAAAAATAGAAATTTTAAAATTGTTCTTAAAAAACTATTCTACATTCCAACAACTAATTCTCTGGAGATAAAATCCTCTGTGTTACAACTGAAGACTCTATTCTTATTCTGTAATGATTAGGTTCAATCCCAGCACATTAAGAAAAAATATCCCAGAACATAAAACAACAGCAACAACAACAAAATCAGCTGGTTACCGTTTTTAGTGTGAGTTTTCATATTTTCAGAAGCATTTATTAAAACATGTTTGAGTCCTCTCTGGAGAAGAAATACTTTTGGTTGCTTTTTAATAATAGTTACCGTTTATGGGATGAGGTAATAGTTTATTTACAGACTTTACCCTCTTTTGTAACATTAGGACTAGGAGTTGGGGATGATCCATCCAAATGTACAGAGAAGCAGAGCCAGAGGAGGAAGCATAGATTTAAGTCAAGAACTATGGCTCTACAAACTCTAATCCTCTTCTCTTACCAAACTTAGTTACTCTCAATTTTTGTTATAAACCTTGATTTTTAGCAGTTCAATAACTACCTCTTCTCCATGTATTTCATTATTCTCAATAAGAATATTATCAACAGTTTTTTATTTAATTCAGAACTAGATTCACAAAATGGAAACTCTTGCCAGATATTGTTTTGAATCCTTTCCCATGTGTTATTAGTTTTCTAACCCTGTGTCATACATATTTTTGTTTAATAGATAAAGAAAGAAATTATAAATTACAAATTATGCAAAATATCAAGATCCTAGGGGCCAACCCAAGTGTTTGTAAAACATTATCATTTTCCTTTATTTTATATGTGTGTTTTATCCCTTGTGGATGAGAAGTTTAGTAAATTTACTCTAAGACAAGTTTTGTTTTGAGATCTGGATCTTGTTTTGTTGCCCAGGTTGACCTCAAACTTCTGGGCTCAAGCCATCTTCCTATCTCAGCCTCCCAAGTAACTGGGACTACAAATGTGTGCCACCACACCCAGCTTAAGAAAAATTTGAAGAGTCAAATTCTTAAAAAACAAACAAACAAACAAAAACCCCCAAAAAACTATCTCATTGTTGAAAAGAAGAAAAAAATTATTCAACCGCCTGAATTTCCAAATTCTAGCACCAAAAAATAAAAAGGAGCAGTCCGTACATTTTAATTCTTCCCTAAAGGTTGTTTTGCCTTTGTGTAGCTCAACAAAAAAGGGCATTTACCCAGAATCTGTGACTAACTCCAGTTTCTTCAGGGGATTGGAGGAGTTTTTCTCATGCCTGAGGATCTCCTGGCTCCAAGGTCACAGTTCTCAAATTTTCATTTTCCTCCTTAATCTTTTGTCTGCATATGAATAATGTCTATAGAACTGGCTAATTATATATGCCAACTCTGTCAGTACAAGCTAGGGTTTACTCAATATATTCCAACCTAAACATTTCTTAACATTCAATTTTCTAGTGTTACAAAATGACTTATTGTCCTTCTTCAATTCTGTCATTGTAATTTTGTTTGTTGAAGTCACAGATAAAAAGTGACAACCTGGTACTTTTTGATCCCTATAAATTTCCCTTTCGGTTCATAATCCCCTTAACCTTCACTCACTGTTTTGAAGTGATGTCAGCAAAGCCCATAGACATCAGTATATTAGACCCACTTAAATGATCTTTTGTAAGATGTTTTTCCAGCTATGTTGCCTTTTCTTCCTTTCCTCTTTTCTTTCTTTTAAGAAGCTTTATAAGTTCCTAAGAGGTACCTGGTGCTAAGGATACAAATATCTTTTCTACACAAATAGTCTTATAGTGTTCTGACTTTATATACCTTTCTTAAAAAAAAAATTTAGTATATTCCAGAGGTCTGTCAGCATCTACACAGAGATCATCATAGTTGTACTGTATTTTCCTATATAGGTATAAAATAATTTTATTGGGGCTGGGGATATAACTCAGTGAGACCCTCAGTTTGATATCCAGTACCATGAAAACAAGAAAAAATATTTATTTAACCTGTATATATTTTGGTTGTTCCTAACATTTTAATTAATATAAATACTTAATATGAGTGTGTTTTCAAACACTATTTGCAACGTGCATCCTTTTGCTTATATTTTTGTATATTTGTAAGAATGTATCTTAAAATAAGTTCCTGGACTGGGAATGTGTAGCAGTGGTTAAGTGCCCCTGGTTCAATCCCTGGTAAGTAGTGGACTTACTTGTTCAAAGAAAATATGGATCTAAAATTTCTATAGCTGCTGCCAGATTATCACACAAACAGATTGTAACAGCTTCTGTTTTTGTGAATAGCATTTGAATATGCCTCTTTTCCCATAATCTTCACCAATACTGATTAAGTTGTTTAAGATTTCATTTTTTTGTTGTTGTTGTTAATAAGATGTTTGAAGTTTTGTGTTTTATTTAATCATTTTAATTTACTTTCTTCATTTCAAATTTGGGCAGTTTTCTTATTTATCAATTGTTTATAAATCTTCTACAAATTATCCATTCCTATCCTGTATTCTTTTTCTTCTCAATTTGTAATAACTTGGCTTTATATCTGCAATGTTGATAAATATTTTTCCAGTTTATTGTTTTTTTTAGTATACTAATGGGTTTTTGATTAGATAGAAATGTTACAATTGTATATACTCAAACTTGCATATATTTTCATATATTTGATTCCTAAGCATTGTTTTTCCTGATACATTTAAAGGTTTTCCCTTTCTTTGCATTTTTCTTATTTTGCTTTAGCTTTTTACACCCAATCTAGAATTTTGTTTATCCCCCCTGTCCCACTTCTTTGGGATCAAAGTTTTGGGATCAAACCCAGGACCTCACATACACTAAGCAAGTGCTTTATCACTGAGCTACATGTCCATCCCTTTTAAACTTTTTTTCCCTCCTCCCTTTGATAAATTGTCTGTGTGCCCTGAATTATGGTACAAAACACTGCTTTGTTGGCTGAGGATGTAGCTCAGTGGTAGAACACGTGCTTAGCATGTGTGAAGTCTTGCATTCAATCTCAGCACCAAGAGAGGAAAAAAAAAATAACAGAAAACTAAACAAAAGCTGGGCTCAGTGGCCTACACCTAAAATCCCAGTGTCTCAGGAAGCTGGGGCAGGAGGATCTCAAATTCCAAGCCAGCCTCAGCAATTTAACAAGGCCCTAAGCAACTTAGGGAAACCCTGTCTCAAAAATTAACAAAAAACAAAACAAACAAACAAAAAAAAACCCAGCCAACACTTCTTGTGAAAGCAACATAGCTCCTTATCCTCAAGATACATAAAATATGATTGGGAAAAATAAGAACAGTTCAAAGCAGCTCGAGGACCGTAAGAATTCAGAGTAAAGGGAAAATCTGTATGGGCTAGAGGTTGTTGAGGCTTCATAAAAGAGTTGGACTGTCACTTCTTAAACTTGGTAATCTCTCTCTCAAAACTCTCCCACATTGTTTGTTATTCTAAATTTATAATTGATTAGTATTGAGATTTTTGTTTAGACAGTTCAGTATTGTTCTCCCTTTGATACTTTATTTGGAATATACAAATAAAGAGTTGAATGTAAAATTAGAATCCACTCTGAACTAAACTTATTAAAACTAGTCAGAAAGGTCAGGTGAGGTAGCAAAAACCTGTAATCCCAGCAACTCAGGAGGCTGAGGCAGGAGGATCACAAGTTTGAGGCCAGCCTCAGCAACTTAGCAAGGCCCTAAACAACTTAGTGAAACCCTGTCTCAAAATAAAAAATAAAAGAGCGGAGGATGGATCTCAGTGATAAAGCACATCTAGGTTTAATCCCTACCACCAAAAAAGTACTACAACAAAACTAATCGGAAAGGTGGTCAATGCCCAGAATTAGAGATAGGAGGGGAACAGAGGAGTGAAACAAAGGGAAGATGTAATACAGCAGTTTCTTCTCTGAGCCTTTTAAGATATCCCCTTCATAGGGCTGGGGATGTAGCTCAGTTGGTAGAGTGCTTGCCTTACATGCAGAAGGCCCTGGGTTCAAACCTCAGCACCACCAAAAAAACAAAAAAGATATTCCCTTCACTTAACCACTGACCAACTGAGGTTGGAAAATATTAAGTGGAAAATTCTAGGAAAAAAAAAAATTCACAAGTTTTAAACTGAGCACCATTCCAAGCAGGTAGTGAAATCTCAAGCTGTCCCTCTCCTTCCTGCCCACAAGGTGAATCATCTGTTTGTCCAGCCCTCTACTCTGGGTACACTACCCATCTGTTAGTCAATCAGTAGCCTCTGGGTTATGAGATCAACTGTCCTTTAATCACAGTGCTTATGTTAAGTCATCCTTACGTAGTAGCCTAATGATACATCACAGCGCCTACCTCATTCTCCTCACTTCATCTCATCACAGACATTGTGTCATCTTACATCTTACAATGTATTATAATATATTACTATTATAGTATATTCACATTTTTATTATAGTATATTGTTAATTTCTTACTATGCCTAATTTATAGATTAAATTTTCTCTTAGGATGTATGTACAGGAAAAAATACATATATATAGGATTCAGTACTGTCCATCCACTGGGGTGTCTTGGAACATATCCCCTGCAAATAAAGGGGAACCACTGTACTCTCCACTGCATATTTTCTCTCTCTCTCTCTCTCTCTCT